GGGGGGAGGTGGGAGGAAGAAGTGGGGAGAGACAGAGCCAGAGCCAGAGGCCTTGTAAATAGTATTGCAATTTTTAACTTTATCTTTAAAGTAATAGGAATCCGTTTAAGTGTTTTAAATTCTGGAGTATATAATTCAACTTATATTTTAGAAAACCACTCTGGCTGCTGAGTGGATAAAGGACAATGGGGCAAGTATAGAAGTGGAAAGACCAGTGACAACGTTACTTCAAAAGCCAAGTGAGACATGATCATGGCAGTTGATGGGGGCTCAGGGAGAGTTGACATAAGTCCTATTTCAGAAATTGTTTGCAATGGCCTGGACTAAGAACACAGGTCCTAAGTTGGTTTGGTGCAGTGTGAACCTGGCTCAGACATTAGCTGTGTGTCCTCAAGCAGGCAAATGTATCTAAGTTCCAGTTCCTTTTTGTAAAGGAAGGAGGACAGTTGTACCCATACATACAGGGTCTTTTTTTTTTTTTTTAAGTTTCATTCCTTGCAGATAGTAGGCACTCAAATTGGTTGTCCTGAGAATATTTCTTGTGTCTGTTTCATTCACGTTTCCAACTTCATAGCCTCCCTTTTGAATGCTTCATAGTTAGACCCCTTTTGACAATTCAAAGATGATGATGATGATGTTGACTGTTAATTAGGGAGGAAGTGTCTGGGACAGGAAGGTGACTGTAGTGATGCCCAGCTTATAGCTTGAAGGCTGTCATATTTGGAAACTGGAAAGATGAAAAGAGAATCTTCTGGAAGGAAAGTGAGGTATTATGATCAGGAGCAGAAAGAGCTCAGCTGTCAACATCACACTCATGTGATTTCCCCTGGCTTTACAGTCCTAGAAAAGGAAAAGCCTTGAGGGGGGGAGAGACACTGAAAAGAAAACCATGGGGGGCTGAGCAGAGGGGGAGATTCTATATGTGGCCTCTGCAAAGAAGAAATCTACATGTTGTAAATGGCGCTTTTGAGAAAAACCACATGAAGTCACCCAACACTGATTTTTGACTCTCACTTGAAGCTAAGGGCTGTTAATCTTTAGCAAGCTCTTGGAGATTAAAGAAAGAAATGTGGCTCCTAAGAAGGGTCAAAGTAAGACCTAGGAGGCCAAGTGAACACCAAATTTATTTATAGATATGATTTATGGTAACCTAGTGACAAGAAGCAGAACTGGGTCACAGGTTATGGCAACCATGTAGTTTAGGACCTACAGTGAGTAAACCAATGGAAATATGGGTGACTCTTGGCTGTGATGCTTTCCAACTTAGATTCCCTGTTTACATCTGGAACTACTTGGGGAAGCCTGGAAAATGTGTGCCATCTATTTTTAATTCAAAGATGGAGGGGTACCATCAAAGCACTATGACCATGAGCGATCCTGAGTCCCCTAGAAAGCGTGGCATTTGAAGACGTGCATGGGTGGGAATCCTGATGTCATTTCCTATCAGTGTCACCTTGGCCAAGTGACTTCACCTCTCTGAGCTTTCTGTTATCTGCACAATGAGGATACCTTAAAGAACTCTTGTCAAGATTACATGAGAAAATCTATACAGAGGTGCATAGTGGAAATCAGATGTGCAAATTTCTCAAGTTGAAAAACTCCCACTTTGTACTTTGGCAAGTCTTAGCAGTGTGAGTGAGTGAGTGATTGTGAGTGTGTGTGTGAGTGTGAGTGTGTGTGTGTGTGTGTACGCGCATACACTTGTACGAGTTCTTGTCTCAAGTGTTTGCCCAAAAGACATCAGAAGCCACACGTGGGGTATGCAAGAAGGCTGTGCAGACATGATAGCTTCACTTGAGGCTGAAGGAAAGGCCAATGGGAAGGAATTGGCCTGGGGTTGACTATAACCCTGGAAATCATGTGTGAGACTGATTGGAGGTACGAAGAAACTAGAGACAGAGAAACCAATTTGGCTATGGACTCAACTGTGTGCCCCCCAAAATTCATATGTTGCAGCTCTAATCCCCAATGTGATGGTAATTGGATGTGGGGCCTTTGGGAAATAAGTTCAGGTGAGGTCATGAGGGTAGAAACCTCTTGATGGGATTAATGCCTTAGAAGAAGGGACACCAGAAACCTTTTCATCTTTCTCGCTCCGCCATGAGAGGACACAGGCCAGGAAGAGGGTCCTCACTAGAACTTGACCATGCTGGCATCCTGACCTTGGACTCCCAGCCTCAAGAACTGAGAGAAGTTAAATTTCCATTGGTTAAGCCAACCAGTGAATGGTATTTTGTTATGGTAGCCCGAGCTAAGATACTGTGACAGCCCAGGACAATCTAAAGACACTCCTGAATTAAGGCTGTAGGGATGAAAAAGAGGGGACAGATTAAATGGCTATTTTGTAATGGACACTGAAATAATCTGATGACCATCGGACACACCAATAAGGAAGAGTAATATCTCCCAAGTTTTAAACTGGAACAACTGGGAGGATTTTGAGTATCCCTGAAGAAAGAAAAAAAAAGCAAGAGCCAAGCTGGGGGGTGGGCTGATAAGAGGTGTCTTGGGCACACTGGGGGTGACTTGCCTATGGAACGGCATGATGCTGGCACTGCTCTAGAGGCAGGTGGAGGAAACACAGGACCTTGAGCTCAAAAGGAAGGACTGGGGGAAGGCTATGGATGTGGCATTGTCAGCCAAGGTTAGAACAATTAGCCTGGATGAGCTGGACAATGTACAGGCTTAGGAGGAAGCAAGGATGGGTTATGATAATGTAAAAACATAGGGATCACATATTATAATATTCCCCCCAAAATAATGCTGGTTCTGTAAACTATTTCTAAACATACCTGATCTTGTAGCAGAGTGCTTCCAAATGCCCAGATACAAGCAAAGACAAAATAGACTTCATAAACTTCCTTTGGGCTGTCAGAAGGTACATTTTCAGGAGTCAACAAACATTCCAGAAGAACGCAAATAGTCTAAAGAACAAGAAATAGCCATTCATTTAGGGCAACATTTTTGTTTTGTTTTTTAAATAGTGGAGTACGTCCACAGAACTTACTAACAAATCCACTTTACTCTTAGGAGATTATATAATTTTTCCCAACTCTGTGATTTGCTGCATTGGAGGAGATAAAAATTACTGCCTTGGGTTTCTGTGTCAATGGAAAACCTTTGCCACTTTTAACCAAACTGAGCTTCTGAATGATGACAAACAATTAAAAAACATTAAAATCTTAAATTATCTAATTAATTACTGTAAAAACAGGAAATACATATAAGCTAAAAAAAATAATAATGGGGATATAGCTATGCTCTTTTGATAAACAGGGAGTCAGACCACACATAGTACTCTACAGTCCACCTTCTCACTTAAAAACAAACTGAAGACATCTTTCCATACCGGTACGTGTGGCCCTATAACATCACTGGGCGTGAATGAATAAGATACACTGTGTGGAAAGGCTGATTTAACTATTGCCCTCTTGTTGGACATTTAGATAACCCACTTTCCCTCAGTGCTTTGGCAGCTGTTTTTCCCACCTGTTGTTATAAATTTAGAAAGTTGGACTGGTAGCCTTAGCCTGGGGCATTTTTTTGGACACCAGACTAAGTTTAGCCTTGGAAGAAATGCTCTTCAGGAACTTGCTCTTCATAGCATCCAGGTGAAACGGCAATGTGCTCTGTTGGTCTGAACATACCCTGTGTTCAGGGCTATCAGATCAATAATGAGGGGAGCATGGCTGCTGCAAAGGCCTTTGCCGTATGAAATCATAACCAGTAGTAAACACATTTTTGAGCTAGTTCTCTAAAGTACAAAAATAAGTGTCATTGATTAGCACGGTCACGGACCCTCAAAACTCATGATACCCTCCCCCCAGTTTTTGGAGGCAGCAACAGATTTTTATCACCATAATATATACACAGCAGAGCAAACTATAACAAAGTACATCAGGATTATCTGCACACCCTTCCTCTCAGCCATGAAACATGGGGAAAATTCATGGTAACATGGACAATGGGTCCTGGAAACAGTATGGAAATGCTTTTACTTGAAATAGTTGAACACCTCTTACTTTTTTTATCTTCTTTCTTGATGTCTGGTATTTTTATATTGTGCCATGTTTGCCAATTTGAAATCATCTTCCAATAGAATAAAACTCACCAACTAAAACTTTGACACTCTGCTATTTCTGAATAGAAACCATCTTGGTCTAAGGAACTGTTCGAATCAAAACAAAAAAGACTGAAAGGTCTCAATGTTAAGTTATCCATTGAATGGAACTCTAGTAAAGTCTATGATTTCTCTATTTTCTCCCAAACACAGTATTTGGAAAACATTTTAAGCTCTGTGTCGGCAATTAATACAATCATGCTTTGGTGCATATTCTGAATGCATTAATACATATTACCAAACTTAACGCAAAGAAGTTGCATATATTGGAAAACAGAGTACATTAATTTCTTAAAGTAGTCATTTTAAGCTATTCTCTTTTATACTCTTTTATGCCTCAAATTCCTTTCCTTATAAGTAATCACAGAAAAGAGACTACTGTATAAAAGAGTGAAAGAGAAGCTAAGGATAAAATGCTATTTCTGAATACTGCAAAAGGAGGAAGTGAGAGCAAAAGTCATATTAATTCCTACTGACCTATTTTCACACTACTCTTGAATGAAAAAGTTCACACCATAGAGAATCACACAAATACACAAGTCAACTTGAGAAAGAACATGACCATGCTTTTTGCAAGTATTATACCAGAGGAAGTCTAATTAGGCTAACCACATAATTAATTCATTATGAATAAATTCAGACCTGCTTTCAGAAATAAATTATACCTCAGATAATTACTGTTGAAGACTATCGTTTACTTAATTGCTGTGTGAATTATCCAAAAACCTGAACTTTCTCTTCTTATTATGCGTGTGACTATTTCTAATTGAGCTTCAAACAAATTTGGTAACATAGTAACTTAATGGTAACAAAGTACCTTGAAACCAATTTTGCTCCTACAGAAAAAAAGGGTTCTAATTGTAAACCGTTTGTGAAGTTTTATACTTGTAAAGGCTGGGGATATTTCTTCTTCATGCTGAGATTAAGATCACAACCTTCATTGCTGTAAATTGTTTTCATTCACTTCCATGACAAGGGGATCATATATCCCCTTCGCTCTCACCATCTGTCTCACAATGAGTATTTGAAACAAAAATTTGTCCCAGGAATATTATGAACTCTCCATTTAGACTGACCTGACTTTAGGAATATTTTGGGGAGGGGAAGAAAGAAACGGAGGGGGAAGTGGACGGTTTGTGGGTGGTGGCACTTATGTGGTAGAGTTCAGAGGCTTTCTCTTACTCGCTGGTCATCATCTTTAACTGCATGAATTTATTGTATTCACTAAAACATACTGAGCACCAGTTTATTAGGTGACAGAAAAATAAACAAAGCTGCTAACGACTTTGTTCTTATTTTATTCAAATATATTTGGGAGGAACACATAATTCAATAAAGACACATTCGGTAGCTACTATCTGCTAAAAACTATATAAATCTCTGGGGATATAAAAATGAATAAAAGCTAGCTTCAGCCCTCCAGTTCACAACCTTGTGAAAGAGGCCACAAATGACCATAGCATGTGATGGGTGTGTGATAGGGGTTTGCAAAAAACACTGGTGAACATTCGGGCTAGAGGACCAGGGTTGGAAAAACCGAACAACTCCAGAAATCTTTACACCTTCTTGAGCAAGCAAAATCTGTTGTCTTGATCGAGCCACATGACCCTATCAGGATTAGAATGTCACACGGTGTAACCGAAGACATACCTGCACCAAGCTGTTCTCTGGAATTGAAGTGATGGTTTTAAAGCTTGTTCTCAGCTTATCCAAGCATGCAGGAATGTATTTATCAAAAAGAATTGTTAAATTGGCCTTTTCTGATTGATGCTGCCTTCTGTCTATCCAACTGGCCACATACCTGCACAAGAGCACAGAAAAGCTTTTACTGAATGCTGGGCTTGAAAAGCAGAACTCCACCAGCCCAAAAGCGTCTTCCTTCCACGCAGCATGGTGCAACACTTCAGGAGCATGTTTAGCAAGTTCATTCTATTCCTCAAACTGCAAATATTTTTAAATGACCCTTTAAAACCTTCTTTTAATGGCCATTTTTACCTTAATGAAAAGAATGTGAAAGAAACTCCTAATAGCATTTAGAAGCCAAACATAATAGGGTATAAGTAGGCCATTACTGAGCATTTATAAGGAAGTACAGTTTGTCATTTCCTAGAGGACTGAAACCATTCTCATAGTGTAGGCCTTATTTATGAAAACAGCTTGGGATTTTTCTGGATTAATCTTGGCATCATTTATTTAGTAATGAGACGTCAGTTACAAATAAAAAGGTGAAAATTCCATAGAGGCTATTTCAAAGTCCCCCTTTTCCCACTGGACTGAATGGAATGCCTTTCTCTATCATTATTTACATGCTAAGTAATATATAGTTTGGTACATCCCATTTTCAGTGTTACGTTCCCTGTAAATAATTTTAATTTAAATAATTATGAATACATTTAAATAATTCTTTGCCTACATGTTTTTCCCTTTCTATACATTTTCATTCCTTTCTACTAGAAAAAAAAACCACTAATAATTTCAGAAATTTTCTTCTAATCCCCCTGCCTTTCTCTATTCCTCATGATCTCAACAGACATATACAAGTATGAACTATCCAGGATTCTTCCAGTAAATGTACTTAGAGCTCAGAATTAAAATAGTATTTGATTTCTACAGCAGTCATATGCTGTGATTTTAAGAATGTTGTTTGACCTGATATGTGCCATATCTGCAAAGTGTGGACATAAATTTATGTTTTGAAATAGCTCAGTGAGTTTTAACAAAAATATCCTAAGAAGCTTAAGTGACATGGCACTATCTTTACTCCTTATATGGAACCCTACAGAGATACTATAAACATAGTATTTCATAATACCTTCTATCTACAGTATCGTATCCATGCTCACAATATAGAGTAAGAAAATACATTTCCTGGTTCTGTTCATGGAAAAGGCCCAGAAGCAATGATATACCAGTGGCAATGAGCACACCTAGCATCCCTATCTTGGATTCTAAACACCATCCCTTGTACAAAAAGTCATTTCTTCTGACTCCTTGGAGAAATGGATGAACCAGGCCTATGGTAAAGAAAGCCTCAGATAAGCCAGAACTATCTTGTTTAACCAGAAAGCAAAGTGCTCAAAGACTTAGGAGGACATGTACAAAAGAACACAGAAGGAGCTGGCTTGAATGGGCTCCTGCTGGTAAAACTGGGGACAATTGGAGCACACAAAAGAATAATGCGGGTAATGAATAATTTCCCATTAAGCGAAAAGAAAAGAAGCCATACATAGAAAATGATACTACCCAAAAAAGAAAGAAAAGGAAAGAGAAAGAAAGGAAAGGAGGGAGGGAGGAAAAGGAAACTTTTTTTACAGAAAAATGTCATCTAATATATGTAGATAGAAAGATTAAATTAGGAAATCACCCCTTCAGCCATTCTTCAAGACATCTATCTGGCTGTTCTCTTCAAAACTGTAAATGTCATGAAAGAAAGAGGTGGGGGAATGTTCTAGATTAAGGAAGATAATAGAGACAGGTAGATGCAATGCATGATCCTTGTTTTGACACCTGATTTTTAAAAAAATCTACAGAGAAAATTACTGGAGTGACTGGGAAAATTTGAAAAAAAATAACTAGAAAAAATTCAGATGATATTGTATCGAGGATAAATTTCTTAGGTATGTTAACTGGACTGTGTTCATGTAGAAGAACATCTTAATTCTTAGGAGACAAATAATGTACTTAGGGATGAAGTGTTTTAATGTCTCCAACTTACTTTGAAATAATTCAGCAAAATAAAAGTAGGAAATAAATGTGTCTCTCTATGCCTGTGTGAGAGGGAATATGTACAGCCAGAGAGAAAATAAATGTAGTAAAATGGCAACAACTGATGACTGTAGGAAAAGAGTGTATGGTTGTACAAGGTGCCACTACCTTTTCAACTTTCCTATAATTGTTAACACTTTCGAATTTAAAAATTAGGGGAAATCAAGAACTAAGATACTGGCTTTGTTACCATAGGCAGAAAGAATAGGGCTGTGGAGAGAGAGCAGAGAGAGGAAGGAGGAAGTAAGGGGAGACAAAGGAAGGAGGAGATGAGGTCATTTTTAAGAAAAGGTGCAGCTACCAGACTGGCCAGAACTAGATTCTGGTGACTGAGAACAGACCCAGATGGCCATCTTGCCCCTCCAAGGTGAACTACAGCTAATTGTAATGGATTATAATACTATTAGCATGTGGACAGGGAAAAATCTCCACCCCCTGTGTTGCCATGACAGTTCTGACAAGGGCCAAGTAAGGACAAGAGACCTTGGGAACTGTGAGTTTCACTACTGAAATGAGACCACACTTGCTGGGGGTGAGGGGTCCCCTGAAGGAAATGGGGTGCAAGGGTTGCCTCTGCTGTCTTTATGGGGGAGTGGAGGGATACTGGAAATTCGCCTTCAGCTAGCCCCCAACCAAGAGAAGCGTCCTAGGAGGTAGAATCCTTGCTGGGGAAAGGACCCAGAAGCCCAGGGAGGATTCTCCATTTTAGACTTTTACAAATCACTCCTTCCCCTGCCAAGTCCAATAACGCTTTGTTAGACACAAAAGCCTAGGCATGCTTCTCCTTTGCTGGAGAGTTGAGAGATGAGGCTTGTGGTGAACAAATCATACACAGGAAAAGGAGCCCGGAGAAGCACATCTGTCAGGCGGCTGGCGGGGAACAGAGGTCACCCAGCAGTTTTTATTGACAAAGGTGTGGGCAGAGGGCAGGGACACTGGAAGGCAGAGTGCCGTGTCAGGGGGTAACTGAGGAACGGTTATTGTACCTGCATCTGCAGAGACAAGATGAAGGCCTACCAGAACCTGGAAGGAAAGAACCTTAGGGAGAGGTTGAAGAGGAGCTGTGACCTGCCGCTGAGGGACGCAGCCATCCTGATGTGACCCTGCAGGGAGGCGCCAGGGGAATAAATAGCCTGACCTCATCTCTTCTCTCCCTCTCATTCATCAGCCATTCCAGCCAGAAGCCAGAGGGCAAAGAGCCCAGCGATGAGGTCCGCGCAGGACAGGCTGCGGGGCACAGCGCCAGGTGGAGGGGTAAACAGAAGATACGTGACGCGGGAGCTCATGAGGCACAAGCGTGTGTTCACCTGCAGAGCTCTGACGTTTCTACAGTTTTCAGCGGGAAAGCTAGACGAGGTGACAAATGACCACCAGGATGGATTATGGAAAGTGTGAGCATGGAAAGAGTGGGCACAGTAAACTTGTTCAAAATCAAAGCATCACTACTGTTCATGCATGCATATCATATGATACAAACATACAGGTGTTCGCTAAGTGATATATTTATATATACATGTTTCATACAAGCTATTATTATTGTTTATTCACTTATTCAACAAATAGTGAGTTCTTAACATGTACAAGGTGCGAACAGGGTTCTGACCAACTATTGGGTTGTCGGAAAAGTCATGACGCATTTTTGCAACAAAAAACATAGAAAAAATATGTAATGATTTTTCCGACAACCCAATAAAAATGACACAGGTTTACAGGTGCTAATTTAATTATCTTTAAATCTGCCTAATTAGCTTTAAACTTAATAGCTAACACTGTCTTCAAATGGTCATATAAATTTTTAGTTTTTCTTAAAACTAAGATGAAAAAGAGAAATATTCACAACATCATCATCAATGACAAAACCAAACAACTAGATTTTAAAATTGGCAAAGGACCGAAATAAGCATTTCTCCAAGGAAAAGATAAAAATGGCCAATAAGCACATAAAAAAAATGCTCAACATTAAAAATCATTAGGGAAACACAAATCAAAACCAGAATGATATACCATTTCATACCCATTAGGATGGCTATTATAAAAAACAGAGAAAATAACAAGTGATGGTGAGGATGTGTGGAAATTGGACCCTCGCGCAACTGTTGGTGGGAATATACGTAGGGCACTCATGATGAAAAACACTGTGGTTCCTCTTAAAAACAAAAAGTAGAATTACCATATGATCCAGCAATTCCACTTATGGGTATATATATCCAAAATAACTGAAAGCAGGGACTCAAAGAGATATTTGTGTGCCTGTGTTCATAGAAGCATTATTCACAAGTCAAAATATGGAAACAGCCCATATGTCTGTCTTCGGATGAATGAATAAACAAAACGTGGTACATGCATGCAACGGAACATCATTCAGCCTTAAAAAGGAAGGAAATTCTGGCACATATTACAACATGGATGAACTTTGAAGACATTATGCTAAGTGAATAAGCCCATCACAAAAGGACACTTACTGTCTGATTCTATTTATAAGAGGCACATATTCAAATTCATAGAGAAAGAAAGTAGGAAGGGGCTAGGGCAGGGGAAACTGGGGAGTTATTGTTTAGTGGGCATGGGGCTTCAGTTTGGAAAATGAAAAATTATGAAGATGGATAGTGGTGGTGGTTGTACAACAATGTTGAATGGACTTAATGCCACTGGACTTAATGTACAATTAGAAATGGTTAAAATGATAAATTTTATATTATGTGTATTCTACCACAATTTTTATTTATTTTTCAATTAGAGTTGACATTCAATATTATTTTATGTTAATTTCAGGTGTACAGCACAGTGAGTGGTTAGACATTTATGTAATTTATGAAGTGATCCCCCTGATAAATCTGGTACCCATCTGACACCGTACATAGTTATTACAATATTATTGACTACATTCCCTGTGCTTTACTTCACATCCCTATGACTATTTTGTAACTACCAATTTGTACTTCTAAATCCTTTCACCTTTTTCACCCTGTCCCCAGATCCCCTCCCCTCTGGCAACCATCAGTTTCTTTTCTGTATCTATGAGTCTGTTTCTGTTTTGTTTATTTTGTTCTTCAGAGTCCACATACAAGTGAAATTACATGGTATTTGTCTTTCTCTGACTTATTTCACTTAGCATAATACCCTCTAGGTATATCCATGTTGTTGCAAATTATTTTACCACAATTTAAAAAAAAAAAAAAACAATACTCACGGGTTCCAGCCCAGATCTTGTGGGTTCACATACAGAATACCAGCTCTGGACACAGTAGCTGGGGTTGCTGTCCGTAAGTGATGAATTTCAAAGAGCAGCCTCATGGAGGGAGTAAGGGCTACGCGCTCGTTGCTGGCCAAGGTCAGCACCTGGACAGAGCAACACAGCATACCTGTCATTCCAGAGCTAAGGCAATGCTGCCAATTTACCAAAATACAAAGTATTGGGTTGTCGGGAAAGTCATGACGAATTCTCAGTGCATCCCTGAGGGGAGCTCACTGACCCTTGAGAAATGCTTTCACCAACATGGACTCATTCATGCCAACCTTTAAATAACTGTAATTATTACTAAATATAAGACATTTGTTCTGAGAGCTGATTACATGAAAAGGCCTGAATACCACAAAAAATAAACTTTCTTTAGAATCTGAAATACCACAATTATCAATTGTCCTATAGAAACTCACACGAGTATAAAGATCTCAGACCTTTATTTGATGATGAACACTGTCTTAGTTCAGAAAGCAGTAATTACTGTTAATTTAAGGGGGTTACTAATTCTATTCTGTAGCAATGATGATTACTGATTTCTTTCTTCGGACCCTAATGATAGAGCTTGCGTTCCTTGAGTGGTGGCTCACAGACCTGTACCATCACCCTTTATTTTCACTGGGAATGCTGAATTAACCATAGCAAAATGCTTAGGAATGCATTTATACTCAATCGGTGGGCACAGGAACTACTGAATTTCAATAGCTAAACTTCACCAATTAACACAGGGCACAAACTCGGTCTTTTATTATCTCCGCGTTCTGTACTTAATCAAAGATGAGATGTAATAATTTATGCCTAACTGTCAGAAAATGGTAAGATGTGCATGAATTAAATTCTTGGAAACTTATCTCTTTTTAAAGGTGGTTAAATTTATACACACAAGAAAAATGTATTCACTTAAATTCTTTAACAGTGAAATTAAGAGAATTATCAGAAAAGTGCGACTTATCAAAATACAGAGGGTGTCAAAAAATGTATACACATTTTAAGAAATGAGAAAATTGCATTAAAATTTTAATACTCTATACATACCGGTAACAAAAGATGAATACAAGTCATGTTTGACTTCTGCAGTTACAAGAGGTGCTCAAAGTGGTTACCATCAGCATAATTTTAATACAGTTTTTTCCTTTCTTAAAATGTGTATACATTTTTTTGGCACCCTCTGTAGTAACTACATAAAGAACGTCAAGTTAATGATTAAGAACTAGTACAAGGGCCGGCTGAGTGGCTCAGTTGGTTAAGAGCTCGCTCAAGAGTTTGAGCTCTGAGCAACAGCGGTTCAAGTCCCGGCTCGAGCTGAGCAGCCGCTGAACTGCCAACAGGTGGCAGGATGGCTCAGCAAAAAAAAACCCAAAAAACAAAAAAACAAGAACTAGTACAGTAAAACCTTGGATTGCGAGTAACTTGGGTTGCAAGTGTTCCACAAGATGAGCAAATATTTCTATTAGGTTGGTGCAAAAGCAATTGCAGTTTTTGCCATTACTTTTGCACCAACTTAATAATACATTTTAACTTGGTAAATGAGCAATGTCTTGCAATACGAGTGGTTTATTTCTGGAACAAATTATACTCGCAAACAGAGGTATTACTGTATTAAAATCAACAAGTTGAATGGAACTCTTAATACAGTCCAGGTGTTAAGTTTCAGATTTAGCAATGACGTATTACCTTGTTATCATCCATGACAGTATTTAGTGATTCAATCCACATGGGATCAATATCTCCATCCAGGACTATCCATTTTGGTCCATCATGCATAAGATTTGCTTGTTCTCGCAGAAGGAATGAGAAGAGACCTATAAATTAAGAGTAAACAATCTTATATAACAGAGTCGAGTGCTGTTTATTTATAAAATAAATGTGTGTTATTTCTACTGGAAGTTCTTATAGTAAGTAAGTAAATTTGCTGTAAATTTGCTGCCTCTCTCTGGTGGACAATGTGTAATACCTTTCGAGCTATACCTAAGCTGCAGACCAAAGAGCAAGTTTCACTTCCATGAGAAAGTTCCTTAACTTCTCTGAGCTCCCTTCTGCATATGTCAAATAAAGACGATTGCACCTTCCTTGAAAAACAGTTGTGGGGACTTATAAAAGGTAACACACATGAAACTCAAAACTTACACCAAATGCAGACATTATCCTTTTTCATGCATATATTCAGTATTTATTTTAGGTCAAATATTAGTTTATTTCACCTTTCTCCATTTTTCTCTAACAATGTTCAAGTGACATAATTCTAAAGCTAAAGCATTAAAAAATGTTACACATTTCTTTGAGAAATTTGGCCATTGTCATTATCATTACTTCACAAGATGTATAAAAAACATTTTAAAGCCATAGTCCTTTTTGTTATTACTACATATCAAAGTATTGTGTGTGTTACATAGTGTATTTAAGAGTTGATTTTTTAAAACTCAAATATATAATATCCTGGTGAGAAAAACTGGTTTGATGCATGTTTGTGGAAGGTTTTGATTCCTCTGTGTTTTGTGGAAAAAAAAAAAAAAGATAAAAGGCTAAGAGTCTATTTTGACTGTCCCACAAATTAAGGGAAAGTATACATATAAGAAGATTGAGAATGATGAGGTGGGCTTGTAATACACAGGGTCATCAGGGAAATCTCGGATGTGGCATTTGACCAGACCAGACACTTCAGTAACATAAGAGAAGAAGCCATGCAGGTCTCTGTGGTGTTGCAGGTGGTGAGGACTTTAAGCGCAAAGGTTCTGTGATGGGAAGATACTTGGCATGTTCAAGAACAGCAAGGAGGCCAGAGCGTGCGGAATATAGTGAGCGAAGGGCAGAGTGCAGGAAATGAGGTCAGAAACGGGGAAGGATCCCTAATCAAATAGAACGTTGTAGGCCTTGGATAAAGGCTGGATTCTAAGACTGACAGACTACACTGGAAACTGGAAGCAGAGAAATTAACGTTTTCAAGCGCGTCCTCTGTCAGCTGTATGGAAAATGAACTACAAAGACCAGTGAGGGGGACTACTGCAGAGTACAGACAAGAGGCGATGGTGGCTTGGACTGATGTGGTAGCTGCAGAGAAGGGGAGGAATACTGGAATGCAATATGTATTTTAAAGGTAGAGCCTATAGAGTTTGCTGTGAGGTTGAATGTAGGTTGTAAAAGGGAGAAAGGACCCCAGGATGATCCCAAGGTTAGTGCATTTTCTGAAATGAGAAGTAATCACAGACTTTAACAAGGGAGTTTGCTTGTCTGCAGATACTTTCAGGGCAAGAAACATGTCTCATTGACTTTTGTCCCTGGCACCTACAATAGTGCCTTCCTCAAACTCAGTCAGTGTCTTGTATCAGGTACTTTACAAATGTTCCCTGAGCCATTATGTTGACTTCTTTCTGGGTTTTCTCGGATCCCTGATGTAACTGATATGGGATAAAATACACAGCTCTGAGCACAAACCTAATGAATGCAAATCGATCACTTATTCAAATTTAGCTTTAATTTATAGGTTATAAATACTGTTCAGAGCTGCTCTATCTCCAATAATGCCAACACAAACAGTAAATCTACAGCTATGGCTAAAATTGGCTTGAACTAAGAAATGGTTTCCTGGATAAAAAGTAGAAATTTTTTGCACTTCAAAAGGGGAAATACTACTTGCCATCTTTCCATTCTCGGGTAGCATGATGTATGAAACCAAAGAGTTCATCTGTTGTCACAGCTTTAGGATTTAAGTCATTCCAAGTGGGTTTTTGCTTCATGTTAACATATGTTCGGTTCAGTGTTCTCAAAATCTGAAGGGAAGAAGGGGAAAAAAAACTGAGGAATTGATAGTAATGTAAGCCAAGTGGAAAGCAAAAGATTGCAAAGGATTTTCCTCATTCATTATATAGTCCTAGATATTCTGTATTAACATTGAGTGTGGAAAAAAAATGTACACATGCACATTTTCATTACCATCTTGAAAAATTTAATCCTACAGTCCTTTAGGATCAGTTCACCTGATTCTTTGAACAATGTAGCCTAGAGAAAGTCACTCTATCATTTGGGATTTTCAACCATGTGCACAAAATGAAGGATTAAATGTAAAAATGTGTTCCTGTTCATGTTATTAAAGTCTACTCTACCTGTATTACTTAGATTGTTCTCAAAATTTAGCCTGCAAGAGAATCACTTATAGGGTGTTAAAACAGGTTCCTGGGCCCAAAGTTTCTAATTCAGTAGGTCTGGAGTGGGACTGATAATTTGCATTTCTAGTAAGGTTCCAGGAGGTGACTATGATGTGGTCTGGACATCTTTGAGACCTAGTGACCTAGAGCAATAGTTCTTAACAGCAGATTTCTTGACTCGGGGGAAGAGGGCATACTACTGGACATCTAGTGGGTAGAGGCCAGGGATGCTGCTAAACATTCTGCAATGCACAGGATAGCCCCCCACAGCAAAGAATTATCTGGTCCAGAATGTCAACTGTGCTGATATTCTGATCAGATAATTGAGGAAAAGAAGACCTGAGTAAGAATTCATAAGATAGATGCTTAACATGTGCCTGTTTAATTAACTGACACCTTAACCCAAATATCTGCCCCAACTATCCTTTTTGCTTTCTCCAAAAAGCCATGGCTTTAGATATTTAGCATCCTGATCTCACAGGGGTCTGAAGGACTGATAAACAACTGCCAAATACTTAGGAATAATGATTCATTAAATAACATAGCCCTGAGTTTTGGTGCTCCAGTTATAACAACTTAAGTAAAGGTTGAATAGAACAGAATCAGTGAAGACTAGATAAAAGAAACAAAATGCCTTAAGAATATTAAGCTTACATTTTTAGAAACCATTAATCTACTGAAAGTTATAGAATTTAATTTTATCCTTCCTTAAACCATGGCCCGCATCTGAAACTTACTCAAACAAAATAATTACAGGTCTCTCAGTTATCTACTTTAATATTTCAATTATTACATTTTTCACTAGAAAGATCCCCATACAGGGCCTCCCTTTACAATTGTTCCACTTTGGATCTGGATCTAAATACCACCAAGTTCTCTACACACCCATGCTCTATGCCCACTGATTATTTTTAGTCATTGGCTACTAAATATGTTTACATCCAAGCACCCTGAATTAAAATGCATGCAGCTCTGCATATACCATCTGCCAACCAAAAAAAATAAGTATGTTGCCAGGGCTATCAGTAAGATCAAGCAAAATCAAGCAGTGAACTAAAAATGGGGATAATCATACCCATAGCCTACCATCGTTGTGCAAAGTAAATCACACATAACGTACCTAGCACAGCGCACAATAGGGACCTCAAAAATGTGGTTTTTGCTGCCTCCCTTTCTTTTCAAGTTTTGTTTTGGCCCTATAGAGGGCTATATTCTCAGGGAGTATTAAAGGAAAATATTTGGGTTTTCTTAATGATATGGTGAGGTAAATCTAGGATAACTTGGAAAAGACAAAGTAGCCTTGATAAATGTGGTTAGGGCCAATCCAATCCTGCAAGCCAGGTATCTTATGCTAGAGTCTTTCAATGTGTTAACTTTGGATAAAGAATTCAGGTAGAATTATATTGCTGAAAGATGCCTAAAATAGGATGGCATACATCTAAATGCATGAATAGGATGCTAAATGTCTCGTGGAAAGCCCAATCTTTATCTCAACTTACTTTTCCTATTTAAATGAAATGTTCTATTTGTTACTCTCTCCCTATTCCAAATATAGAGGAAAATAGCGTCCATTGATCCAAGAACAGTATTCGAGTCTCAGATTCTAACCGAAAATTACGGTGGACTTTACTGAAGGGCACTCTTAAATAGAACTGAAAATAGGCCAAAAAAAATTGTTCCCCCCATGGCCGAAAGCTCATAGGCAAATGTACTCTACCTTACTCTTCCCTGTGCCTGCATTTCCAACCACAAAGACAGAGTGCCGAACAGCCAGCAGTTCCTCAAGCTGGACAACCTGCAGACAAAACAGCCAGTCACTGGTTTCCTTTAGTGAGTTTGTGATTAAACAAAAAACTAAACAAACAAACAAACAAAACACTACCCATTTTTGCCCAATTGTTTCCTTAAAACTCAAGCCAGCCCCACTGACAAGAGTATATTCCAGGAAAGTTGAAATGGATGACAAGGGCTAAGCACAGTTTCTCCTGGATCTCCAACATTGAACACAAACTTGAGCATGAACACAGCCCACTGCTCTTGAGTCACTGACACAGGCAGGGTGAAGCACAGGAGTACCAGGTACATGGCAGGGGCTACTTACAAAATCAGTGACTCTTCAAGTATTGAACAAAAGCAGTATATGGCTAATCAACATCTGCAACTGAGAAATGACATATGTCCTCTAAAATATCTAAAATGGACATTTTACATGTATTCAATGTCCATGTTTTCACTATACCTAAACTGAGCACACATATGCACATGCCTTTAATAAGTCAGATGATGTCACACATGTAGACTCTTCTCCCCATTAAAAGCATGTACTAATGACCTTACTCCCAATTTTTTCTCAACTGGAGGGAAAAGAGCAAAATTAATTTTTGGTGCATGTCACCAAGAAGAACCAAGAAGTTTAATAAACCAAAGTATGCTCACATTTAAAACCATGACTGAATCATTTCTGTGTTTTCACCTGCTCACAGAGTGGGATGACAAAATACTTAATTATATTTACTTTAGGAAAGGTTGCCATATTAGAATGCTGTCAAGTATACATGAAGGTCATATTAAGGTCAGTGTAATATAGAAGTTGATGTTTTGGGTCGGAATCACTTAACTACAGTTATTGTCACTGTACGCCCCCAGGGCTGCCATGACAAGTAAATACTCCTTTTACTTTGAGGATGAAGCTGTCCTCGGGCTGCAGGCGGAGCTCCACAGTGGACTGCCTGACCATCTGTTCAAACTGTGGCGCCCTCCTCCGGGGCACGTCCAGGGCTGGAAACAGGTCACCCACCAGGCCCAGAAACACAGGAATGTCGTCCGTCACGATTTTAGGCATATTGAAGTCCCTTAAAGCTCTCATGAGTACCTAGAGAAGAGAATAGAAAACACTTTATAAAAAAGCCAATACACGGTCTAACAATTAAACAGCTAAAGATGTTATTTTTAATTCTTATATCTAAAGCATGAGAATCGATACTGTTCTGTCTGTAGGGTGGTTAAATGTTACAAGGTCACACATCAGAACATGAGCGCCTCTCCTGATACCATGGACAACCTCAGACGAAAGTCATCAAGGAGTTCCTGTTCCTTCCATACCAATGTCTGCTTTGATCTCGAAAAAGGATTAGAAGCCCTTCTGTCCTTAATCATCAAACTCCAGGATATAAATTAAGCAGGTCCATCAGATCATTTTGTTTCAAGTACATTTTGAGAATCCTAGAATAATAAACTCAACCATTTTCAGTTTCAGTTTTTGTTCTCTAACAGGCTGAAAACCAGTGAGAGCTTCAGGTTATAAAAGCAGAGTAACTTGGACATCATGGTGACTTTTACAGCGAGTTCAGCATCTGACAGCCACAGGACAGCAGGAGAACAAACAAATGCAGGAAAATCCTGATCCCATCATGAATTGTGATTGCGAGGAAGAGAAAGATTGAAAATGAAAAGTAGAAAATCACATAATAAATATCCCTTAGCATAAAAAGAAATTCACAGGAATAGATCTATTTTTTTTTCAGCTTCTCAAGCCACACTGCATGTATATATAGGGCTGTATGTCCATTACTCACTACTTATTTAATAGAGAAAAACAGACATGCGGCTGTTATTGTTTCTTCCTGGGAGGGACAATTCTCTAGTAGCTCTGACAAACCAACTGAGCATGTCCCTGGTGCTAGGTGATCAACCTTCCTGTCCATTCTTCATGCATCTTACAACCTATGACATGGATACACCTTCTTCTATTACATTATGTCTCCACTGACGTTTGCAGGATTAACATCCCAATTGAATGAATCAGATTTTCTAAATGTTCCTCAGAGGAAATGAAACAGTGACTACTGAATTACTTGATTATGACCGCCCAAATATATTTTTGTGGCCAACATTTCGAAAGCACTTATAAAATCACATTTTCTTTCCTACACTCATAACCTTTTACTCAAGAATACTTGTGATCTTTTATAACATAAGACATGCCAGTCCTCCAAATATCCTACATTAACAATAGATGTTACATTTTTCAAAAGTCTTGTTATGCATGACCTATCATCCAGGTATACACTTTCATTTGTACGAAGCTATTTAGCGACTCACTCAACAAAATCACATTAGCATTGCGTTACCTGATCTTCAGGTCTGTTTTTATCTTCTCGTTTCAGGGAGCCAGCCACAACCAAGACAGATTTAATAGCGCGAAGTCCCCAGTCATAATGATCCTAAAAATCAAAACATAGGCATATTTTCTCAAGAATTTTAGGAGGGAATAAGATTCTCATCCCAGAAGGAAAAGCCGAATGCTAGGCGTTCCGATGAATACATGCTTTAATCATGGGAACTCGTATTTCCCTCTCCTCTCTGAAACTGTGAAAACCATGTCCCCTCAGTGTCTTTCTGCTTCTTTCACCTGATTGTCTATCAGCGAATCTCTTCTTCCTGCACCATGTAGTCGCAGCATTTGCCCAAGGCTCCATCTACCTTTCTTGCTCTTCTCTCTCAATAAACCTGCTAACTCGGGAGTTCAACCACTTCCATTTTTCACCTCCGTCCACAAGCACGTTTCTCTCACTGTGACAGCCCCGTTATTCCACCCCTCCCCAGGCCTACGTCGCAAATTGCCCCAGCTACTCTACCTCTTAATCCCTTGGATGCTGCAGCCCTGATGCGGGCAACTAATACAGTCAAAACTGTATTAAATAAAATTCAGTGATAAATCAGTTCCTCTTTGAGATGTCCACATTATCCCTAAGGAAGATTCTTCTCACAGGACCTGAGTTCCTCGAGAACAAAGCCTGTATCTTTTTCACTTTTGTCTCCTAGGTCCTAGCATGGTGCACTGCACAGGGCAGGTGGTCAGTAAAACTGAATTAACTGATTGCACAGAGGGTGCCAAAAAAATGTATACACATTTTAAGAAAGGAAAAAAACTGTATTAAAATTGTAATACTCAACATATACCAATAACAAAAGATGAATATGTCACGTGTATACATTTTTTTGCTCCCCGCCCCCCCCCACCGCCAGTATATAACCAACCTTCTCTCCAACTTCCCTTTGCAATCCACACAGTAATAACACTTCTCTCAAATGTCTCTCAGCTGTGCCTGTGGGAAAGTCATTTAATTTCTCCAAGTCTTAGTATCATCATCAATAAAGGCAGATAAAAGTATCTACCCGCTTTATAAAGCTGTTGTAGGAGTAAAATGAGTTAACGCCTTGTGGACAGTGAAATAATAAACACATGTATAAAAATATGCCCTTCACTCCATTGGTGGATAATAAAGTCCATTTAGTGGATCTTGACCATCATTTTTGTCAATAATACAACAAAATAGAATGGGATGAAGAATACCAGAATGTGTTGCAAGTAGTAACGGTAAGAAGTATTTGGTGGAAATTTTTGCTTCAGTTGTGCATACATGCGTGTGTACTGAGTCTCAATAGAAAAACATGTTTTTTAGAGTGTTTTGAAAGTCACTGATGTAGAAGTAAGCTGAGGCTTGAGGAGGGAAGACAAAGGAGAAAGAAAAGCATCTAAGGCCAGGGAGACTGGGGAGGGGGCTAAGTCATTGCAGTGATGATATTAAAGGGGAAGGTATAGAAGAAATTCTGGACGCAGATTTAAGAGGACTTGGTGACTCTCCTAAACATTTAAACACTGCAAAAAAACTGCTAAAATAATCTTCACCATTTTCATTATGTTATTTCTTTGGTCAAAAATGTTCACTGATTCTTCTCCAGTCCATCCCTATGGATTAGAAAATGATCAGTTCACTATGTTCCCAACTCAGCAATTCTGTCCTGGCCAGATTTCTTTCCCCTCATCTCATCCATGACATTTCTCATCCTGAGTTAGGGGACTCTCTCCTTGCCTGTTCTACATTTCCTCTCGGCACCTTCTTCTTGTAATTGGCTGTCGGTGTCCTAGGAAGAATTCGAAAGCACTAAATTCAAATCTTGCTCCCACCACTTGTTAGCCGTGGACTTTGGACAGGTTACTTCACCCTGTTTCCTCATCTGTAAAATGGAGCTGATCATAACAAATTTATAGACGTCTTATAAAGATTTAAAATAACAAATGGTACCTGTTCAATAAATATTGGTTCCCTTCTTCCTTGAAACGATCATAATCTTTTCATCCTCCTCCATTTTATTCTAATTTTTACTTCATGTAAACTGAATCTCCTGAGTTCTTTGGAGTCATAAATCTGAGTGTTTATTTCGTTTGTTCTAAGGCTTAGCCCTTCATCATCATCATAAATAAACATACTACTTGCATACAGTAGATGCTCACTAAATCTTTAAATATTACTACTAGGAATGGATATAGTTGCAACTCTGTGTTTCCTAGGGGCAATGACATTTTTTCCTTCTGATTTTTTCCCATGATAAAATTAAAGTGGGCTCATTTTAGAAAGATGTTACAGACAAGAAGAAGAAAAATTTAAAACACTCATCATCTTATTACCCAGAGACAAACGTTAAAACTCACAATATATTTCCAAGTCACTTTATATGTATATGAAACACACAGTATAATATAAAACATGCACATCTAGTTTGGTATGCTGCTTTTTGCATACAACATTGTCATATACATTTTCCATATTATTAAATTTGATATGCTTTCTCCCCCAGAATGTAAACTCACAGTTATTAAAATGACAATATGAATATCTCTCTCAGATTCCAAATCTCACCCCAACAATGGGTAACTTAAAATGAGTACACCTGGCAATACTGGTAACTGTGTGGTTATAACTGTGGTGTTTTAATACTTTGATCCTGGAACAGCTGCAAAATACTGTCACCAGGGATTAATGAAAGGTCACTACAGGCCCAACGTCCAAGGTGGCCAAAAAGCTGAGTTTAAAAATAATGACGCTGATACATGTGTAATTTTTGTGGTGCATCAGCAACTTCAATGAAACTGCAAGAAGAAAATGACTGGAGAATAGAGAATAGTTAAGTTTGAACCATTTCAGAGACTAGGGAATTATACAACAAAAGTTAAGGAAAAGAGGGCGGAGACCTTTACTTTTAAATAAAGGATTACTAACAAATGAGGAAATTTCAATTTAACATTTTGAGATGTTCTCCAGAAAATCAGCTGTACCTCACCCTCATGAATATTTCTGCCTTCTCTCACTAGACTGTAAGATTCTCATCAAGAAAGGAAGGCATCATAAAATTCCATTTATAATTATAACATTGGTCAAGTTTAAAGAAAATCACATAGCCTGTTGATAAAAACTATGAAGTACAAATGAACAGGAGGCTAAAAATGCCTTGTTTAATTTAAAAAAAATTAAAAATTGCAAAATACAGATTTTCAAAATTTTATGGAAAATATAAAATCACTCCTAAGTGTCTAATTATAATTTGAATGACAAATTACCTAGCATCCATATTTCAAAAGCTGTTTTAATGGGATGGAAAAGCCAAGAAAAAGTAACAAAAGACTCCCCACCTGCTTGGAGAGGAGCTCCCTGCAAAGCGTGTACAGTGTAATGAACTTTCGGGCTAATGAGCGCGCGTCCACAAACCCTTCAGCAACTAACATGATTTCACAGATTAGCTCAATGTCAGGGGCCACCATGGCACAGGGTCTGAAAAGTAAAGATGAAATTGAGTTTTCAAATGTGATAAGGTGATAAGTAGAAATTGCTGAAATCAAGTAATTAATTCGTACCAACATTCTAACCATTCCCAAGCAGGTCACAATTACCTCTGTCAATCACAGCTACCAAGACTTCAACTAAAAAAGGAGGTCTATTAGTTACTAGATACATAGAAGAAGATGGAAATCCTAAACATAGCAGAAGCATGGGTGTAGTGTTCGCCGATTTCCATGGAACAAATACTTCCATCATGGCTGATTTCAATCTGCCAACACTGAATGTGGAGCTGGAAATAGCATACCACCATACAGGCACAATAGACATAAATAATCTAAGAGTATAAACATGCATAAAATAGTCAATTAATTATGAATTAGTGAATTTTGAGTATTTACCACCTTTGTTTTTAATGCAATTTATTTAATCAAAAGTTTATATAATTTAGTTTTTGTTAGTGGCTGTTCTTAACAACCCACCTCAGAAAATCCATGAAAATTTCACTATCAGCTCTTTCATGCTCTTACAAGCCATCTCTAGTATACCACTACCTGAGACCAGCTTGCACAGACTTTTGAGATGAAAATTTATAACAACATTGCTTCCAAATCCCCTTTCTTTTGGAGAGGGACTGCCAGAAGTCCTATCCAAGACAAGTGCTATTAACAGTAACACTTGAAAAAATTCCACTCTACTGAAGTCAAGTACCAAGAAGGAGTCAGGATAAATAAGTAAATAAAATCATTATTTAGACATCTTAAAGTATACATTCCAAATATTTATCGACCTGTTTCTGTGAATATAATTACAGTCTACTTCCTACACATCTAATTTTTCATCCTAAGCATCACCAGGAGTCCCTTTGGATCTGTTATTAAGTACATACTTTTAACCTAAGTTGGCCCCACAGTTCCCCCCACGTTTTTTACTCTTTATCATATGACAGAAGTGGTCAGGAGGAAGAGTAAATAGGAGAGAGAAAAGGCTAGCAAGTTTATTTAATTGATACTTACATTAATATTGACAACTAATATTTACTGAGCACCTTCTTCATGCCATCTAGGATACTAAAAGCTTTCCATGCACTCTCACTTAATTCTCACAACTCAGTGAGGTGGCTACTATTCTTACCTGCATTTTATAGACGTGCAGACTTAAGGTTCAGGGGAGTACAAGCAAGTGCCCCAGACCACATGGTGGGTAAGTGGTGGAATCATGATACCGTAAGGCTCATGCATACTGCCTCCACTCATGAATATTATTTACATCATCCAAACTGTCCTTCAAGCTTTGCTGATACAAATACTAGCACCCCAACATAAACGATGCTGCACTTAGTTAAACAAAACTGATGAAAACTTCACAAGACAATTTCAAATTTTAAGACTCAAATGAAAACATGTATGAAATAAATTGGGTTACAGATGTAAAAAAATACTGGAAAGATGGGTCATTTTCAAATGAAAATATTTCGTAAGTATTACATTTATTTCTAGAATAGTTATTCTCTAGAATTTTTTTCCAAGAAAAAAATAGACATTATAAAATTGCTGTGCTAGAGAAAGCTGCTATATGAGGAAAGGAAAACATTCAATAAAGGATGCTAGAATAACTGACTATTAGGGAAAAGAATTCTGTTTAAATACTCATTTCATATTACCTACCAAAGTAAATCCTTAATAGATGAAGTACATTTAAAAATATAACACTAGAAAAACTAGAAAATACAAATGAAATATGGTTAAATATCTAGATGAATGGACAAGCAAATTTTAAACTTAAAAGAATTCAAAGAAATTATACTAAAAATATGGAGGTTTTACATATGTGAAATACCATATTATTCTGAAGGCAGACTGTGAATGAAGATACATATGGTGAACACTAAAGAACTCTTATAAAATGAACTGATAAGCCTTTAGTTCACCAAGGAAAAAAAGGGTAAGAAGACACAAATTACCCGTATCAGACATGGACTTCAGGACATCACTACAGATAATAAGAGAATATGAACAAATTAATGCCAATAAATTCATCAATTCTAGATAACATGGAGAAATTCCTTAAAATGTGCAAATTATCAAAACAAATTCAAGAAGAAATGAAAAATCTGAATGACTCCATATCTATTAAAGAAATTGAATTCATCACTAAAAAGATTCCCACAAAGAAAAATCTGAGCCCAGATGGTATAACTGATTAAGTCTATCAAATATTTAAGGCATAAATAATACCAATCCCACACAAACTCTTAATAAAATGGAAAAGAAGGGAACATTGGCCAACTCATTTCATGAGATTACCATTGCCCTGGTGCCAAAACCAGATGAAGATATTACAAGAAAACACACTACAGACCAATATCCCTTATGGCACAGATTTAAAAGTCTTTAATAGTGGTATATTGAAACCATCAATACGTACAAAAATAATATCTCCTGACCAAGTAAAGTTCATCCCAGGAATGCATTATTGAATTGTTTGGCATTTGAATTGTTTAGCATTTGAAAAATCAATATAGTTCAGCACATTAACAGGAAAAGGAGAAAACCTGTATGAAAACTATAAAACAAGGGCCAGCTGGCCGAGTGGCTCAGTTGGTTAAGAGCTCGCTCAAGAGTTTGAGCTCTGAGCAATAGCGGTTCGATGCCCAGCCTGAGCTGAGCTGCCACTGAGCTGCCAACAGATGGCAGGATGGCTCAGCTAAAAAACAAAAACAAAAAAACCCTATAAAACAAAACTTGTAGAACAAAACATAGTTGAAAATTTTTACAACCTGGGTCAAATTGAATGTTCTTAACTAGGATAGGATAAACAACAACAACAACCATAAAACAAATTGAAAAATTGTATTTAATCAAATTTAAAACTTCTATCTTAGATGAACACCATTAAGAAAGTGAAAATGTTAAGCATAAATTGGGAGAAAAACATTTGCAATATTTGTATTTAATAAAGGAACTGCACGCAGTATACAGCACTTCACAAAAGATGGTATGGGAATAGCCAGTAAGTTATATGAAAAGATGTTCAACATCATTAGCCATCATGGAAATGCAAACTAAACCCACAAGGACATATTAGCTAAACTAAAACTAAAAAGACTGACCATATCAAGTTTTGACAAGAATGAAAAGCAAGTGGAATTCTCATACATTGAGGGTGAGAGTGTAAAACGATACAACCATCTTGTAAGCCACATTGGCAAATTCTAATAAAGTCAAACATACATTTGCTATGTGACTTAGCAATTCATAGATACCCCAAAGAAAACATATTTCACACAAAGATTATACAATGAATGTTCATACCAGCTTTATTCATAATAGCCCAAACTGGAAACAACCCAAATGTCCATCAACTGGTAGACTGCAGTGTGTGCATACAACAGAATACTAATCAGCAACAAAGAGGAACGAACTATGGATATACTCTAACTTGGAAGAATCCCATAAACCATAATGTTCAAGGCAAGATAACACAAATGAATACATACATATGGCTTCATGTACATGAACTCTAGGACAGATCAATTTAACCTAAAGTCACAGAAAGCACATCGGTGGTGTGGGGGATTAACTCCAAAGAGACATAAAAGAACTACACGGGGTGTTGGAAATATTCCGTATCTTGATTATGGTAGTGTTTTTGCCAACTATATACTTAAATGGGTGCACTTTATTGTATAAAATTGTACCTGAATGTAGTTGATTTAAAACTTGAGTTAAATGTAACTGTTCAAATGCACTACCACAGGTTCTCTGACAGATTGCTAATAAGTGTATATAGTTATAATATTTTTGAAAAGCAGATCATCAATAGGTATTTTATTCATTCACCAAGTAACTCTATGTGTAGGAATCTATCCTGGGTAACAATCTGAAATAAGGATAACTCTTCAGGTGGAGAGATGTTTATTATAACCTGCTATTTTATATCATAAAAATCTGAAAAAAAAAAAAAACCCTACAAATTCTACAAGTCAGACAATTGGGAATGGCTAAGGAAATTACGAAAACAAGCCATGAGAGAGACTATTTTGGAGCTACATAAACAGCATTTCCAAAGAACATTCAATAATATGATAAACTATTTATGTCAAAATATTAAACAAGAACTAAATAAAAATCATGCCAAACCTGCTATATTAACTCCATAAAATATGAATGATAAAAGAGACTAGAAAAATATATAACAATTATTATTTCTGGGTGGTAAAAGTATAATTTTTTTCTGTATTCTTTTCTGTATTTTCCAAATATTCTGTAATTTGTGAAAATTATGTTTATAATTAAAATATCATTACAAAGGAGCTAAAGGAGCTACTATTAAATCTTCAAATGTACCATGTGACTTTTAAGTAATGATTTTGAGTCTGGGTTCATATGTCAAAAGACTTCATTTATCACGGTTTAAGTCCTCTCCATAAAACGTGATCCCACACAAAGAATAAAGGGTTTTCCACAGGAATTTTGAGTAAAAACAGTTTAACATTTAACAAGTGCAAACCAGCAACGTTAGGGGGCGTGAGTGCTCCAGACGCTAAACCGCAAAGCATTTAACACTTGCCTGAAAAGAGCTTTGAGATTTTCTGGTAATTCTGTTCGACCAGCATATCCAGGGTTCATTGTAATAAATATTCCAACTGTTGGCTTCAGTGAGATAGCTTCCCCAAGAAATACAAATCTACCGTAAGAAGAATGTTGATGAGATTAAATGTGTTCGTTGAATATGAATGCACATTGACAAATGCAAACCACTGCCAAATGCAAACATTATTAGGAGGCTGTTTATTCTGTATAATTTACTTTTAAAATTCATAAGCATACATATCTTAAATATTTTGAAGCATGTTTATTAAAAATACACTCCTTTCCCCCAAAGGAATTACAGATATGGGAAGTATTCTTTTATATTTTAGCATAGTCATAGGGTGCAAGATTATAAAAACGGGGACTTGATTGCTTTAACAGTTAATGAAAGGTGATGCCATTTTTGCCATCCACATGGGTTGCACTTTATTGAATGAGATACTGCACAGATACAGACTGCCCAGGCTAAGAGAGAAAGGGACTCTTTGTTCAGTCTTTATCTATTTGCTCACCCTCCCTCTCCTGCCTTCCTTAATTAATAAAAAAAAAGATAATAATATCACACACTTTATGGGATTATATAAGGTTTAAAAGAAATTATGTATACAGATGGCTGGGAGTCCAATGCCTAGAACATGGTAAATTGTCAACAGATGTTAGCTATGACTATTGCTGGTATTATATGCACTGGAGAAGCAGCGAAAGGCTTCCAGAAAGATTTGCAAGGGCCCTGTTAGGCTGCTGATGGCCAGGGCAATGAAATGGCAAAGGACCATGGGAGCCAAATTGAAGGATAAGTAGAAAGAAATTTTTAATGGGGTAAATGAGGCAAAAGATAAGGCTTTTCCTTGTTGAGAAAGGGGAGGGCTGAAGCAGTTGAGGGAAAGGAGACAGCCACAATTTTCAGGACTAAGAGCTTCTTAGGTACTAGATGACTAGAGAAGGATTTTGTATAATCGAGGTAGGAATGGAGAAATCTTCATTCCTAGAATATCAGGCAGACAGGACTAGGAGAGCTTCTCAGAGAAAGAGGGGTCATCATCGAGGCAGAGTAACTGACTGCTCCATTACACAGAGCAGGGAGAACCAAGTCAAAGGTATGGCCCTCAAGGACAAAGAGCCAGCAAGATGCGGGAAGGCTTCATGGTTTAGGAGTGGTCCCATCTCTTAAATTCCTGAGTACTAAAGAGAATGTAATAAAACTCATGAAATCATGAAGGTGCCTAGCCACCTCTAATTGGGCTACCATGGAGACGAAGAGGTACAATTCACATACACGCCAACATGGAGACTATCAGGTTATATGGTTGGGCATTTTCAAAAATCCTTACATGGATCAATTATCTAAACCTCCATAAGAAACGATGGCCTTAAGTGACATCTGGGTTATACCAAATAATATTTTAACTAAAAGCTAATCAAATATGTCTGGGGATGAACCAGGAAAGAACCTAACTTCTCTAACATGGCAGTAGAGTAGGGGCAGGTAAGGCAGCAGCTATCCGGTCACAGGAAACTAGCATCCCAGAGCCATGCGGTGGAAGGACTGGCAAGTGTCCTAGAAGGTGGAAATAAATATGCATCCGTATCTGTAATAACTGGCAACTTCTACAATAGGTTCACAGTTTCAAGGGGCCAGATAATCTTGCCCTGATAGGGAGACTGAAATGTTCCTAGCTGAACAAAATACCCTAATAAATGGGGAGAGTAAACGGTAGGCCAGATAAATGAGATTGCACTGTATACCAAAAACATTACAAAGAAAACCACAATTGTGTACTATAACACTTATTTCTCAAATTAAGCCGTGTTTTATCTTTTGCAGTGTGGCTTCGTGTTGGGAAGTGGTTAGGTTGTGGATACATTTGGAAAGATTTGGGCCCAAGTAACTGGAAGACGGTGAGGATGTAATGTACTGACATGGGACAACTAACAAAGCAGGTATTGGTAGAAAGAAAAGGATTTAGATTTGGGATATATTAAATATAAGAGGCCTCTGAGATATCAAGGGCAGTGTTGAGATGCCCCAATAGGCACTGTCTATGTAAGTCTAGCTATCGGAGAAGGGAGGTCTGGGCAGCTGTAGCCAGCAGCAGATGGTTCTGAAGGCCATGTGCTGGAGGAATCACCAAGGGAACAAGTATAAACACAGAAAGAAGACACCTAGAGACTGAGGACTGTGACATCCCAAATTAACAGGTCAGGAAATAATAATATTAAAAAAATAGCAAAAGCCAATATGGTGCTATGTGTCGGGCATTTGTCCAAGTGCTTGACATTTAATCATCACAGTAATCTAACGTAGGTACTGTACTTTCCCCCGTTTTGTAGATGAAAAGAAACCAGCAAAAGAACAGCCCTGAGGGAGAGAGAAAACTGGGAAGGTTTGGTGTCCTAGGACTCATGTGAAGAAAGTCACCCAGCAGGGAGGGAGGGACCAATCATGTCTGATGCTGCCAGAAGGTCAAGGAAGGTCAAGGAAGGTCAAGGAAGGTCAAGGCTAAGGCAGGTCAATACTGAAGATGGATCACCAGAGCTAGCGTTGTAGAGGGTGCTTATTTTTTTAAGATATTAAAATAATGTTATATACTTTTGTTGTTGGCAACACTTAAAAAAGCACTAAAAGGGCCGGCCGAGTGGCACGTTGGTTAAGAGCTGGCTTGGGACACCAGAGGGCTCCGGTTCGGATCCCACAGATGAGGGCCAGTGACACTGCCCTCTACAGCTAAGATGCTGAACAACAGCTCAACCTGGAGCTGGGCTGCTGAGAGTCGCCGGCAATGGTGTAGGCTGCAGCGGAGCTGCAGTGGGTTGCCATGGGCTACCAAGTGTAGCCAGCAGCCAGCGTGAGTGGCTTTCCAGAAGCCGGTGACTGATCTGCCTCGCCTGGGAAGGTACAATGATGCTCTTGGGCCAGTGAAGCAACGTCCTCCACAACTAGACTGAAGAACAAAAGGACAACAACTTGTCTGTTCCCCTTCCCCCAATTCCCCAGCACTGTTCCCATCCCCCAACTCCCCAATAAAAATCTTTAAAAAAAAAAAGCAGTAAAAAACAGGATGTTACTCAAAATAATTATTCAAAATTAACCAGTCTCTCTTATTTTATCCATTTCATGAGACAGAGAGAGGAGCATAGACTGTTAAGGTGAAGTTAACTGTGCATTATTCCAGGTTACTCTACTTGTAACAACAGAGAAAAGTCATATGCCACTCACCTCTTTTTCCTGTTTCTGATGGCATCATGTATCATTTTCACTTGTACTGCCACCACGGACAGAACTTCCACAGAAATTCGATTGAACTCATCAAAGCAGCCCCAAGCTCCTGTCTGCACCAATCCCTTATAGATATTCCCTATGGACTAAATGATGGAGGGAGGCATTAAGAATTTAACAGAAGGAGGGTAGAAGCTATCATTTCAAATCATTCCAAATCGGGAATAATGTGCTTAGAAGACATCATTGTATAACTAACTTACTTGGTAGTCCATTTGCTCAGAACAGTTGAATACATACACCATCATGCCAAGGGCACGCCCAAGATCTTTGGTGGTTTCAGTTTTCCCTGTGCCAGCTGGGCCAGCTGGAGCCCCACTCATGGTTAGGTGAAGTGATTGAGTTAAAGTAATGTAACACCTTGAAGCAATAAAGAATGCAAATATTAAGTCTAACTGAGATTTCTAGAACACATTAAGGGTAACCCGTTTGTTTTTTGTTTTTTTTATTTTTTGAAGTTTAAGAAGTCAAGGTCTAGAATACTGTTGTAGCACAAAATATTAATATACTTTTGATTTGTTTGTGGCAATAATATAGTCAGAATAATATTTTACATCAAATTTATTTTTAGGGTGGCTGTTTAACAATAATAGAGAAAAAATGCATTACTTTATCCTTTTATTTGCCTCCTTTCCTTAGAGCTGTGTATTTGAATACCAATAACACTTGATTTGCAATGCTATTGAATTGCCAATATTTTTAGGTAAAGGTACTATTACTATGGCAGACGACATCTCAAGCTATTGTTTGTAAAAGAAAAATAGAAGAGAAATCTTGGATTATGAATGAATTAAACATTGATTTCATTAAACTAATACTTAATGAATATATTGAGATAATGTAAATATATAAATATGTAGTCTGCAAATAATATATGCCCATTTCAAAGTATAAAGCAAATATTCAAAGACAGAATTTATTATATTAAAATGTACATTAGGAATCCGTTTTGAATGTGTTGCTACATGCATTTAAATTATGATAATACTTATTTTTGCAGGAAAGACTTGGCAGTTCTTAGACTAAGAAAAATGATTCAAAGGCAGAACGTAATATTTGTAAAAGATTTAAAAAAAAATAGTAAGTACCTTACATGGGGTTTCTGCTGAGTTAGAAATTATTTTGGTCTTAGTACAGAGAGCACGTCTAGTGGAAGGACATGTGCATGGAGCTCAGAAAACCAGGGACTAGTGTCTACTTTGCCAATAATCAGATGTCAATCTTAGAAGTTTTTTTGATATCAACGTGCCCCAGTTTTCATCTCCAAAAAATGAAGGATAGATTAAGAAAGCCAAAGGTAAATGCATTGAAAGATTCAAAGTACTATGCACATAGAAGCAATTACTTATTAAAATGGAAAGTGCTTCTAGATTTTATGGCCATCGCATGTTTATGTGCATCTTACAATGAAAATGGATTGGAAAGACTGTTGGACTAGAAATTACAGCATTTTTTGTGTTGAAGACTATCCCCTAATAGCCTTTTCCTGAGGTTCCAAGTTTTGCTGGACATAGGGCCACTGATATGCAGACTATATTTCCTACCTCCCTTCCAGCGACAAGGAAACAAGCTCTAACCAATGTGCTATGTGCTGAAACGATGTCTGCAAATCCTAAGAAAACACCTCCTTTGAGATGTTTTCCCCTCTCCCACTGGCTGCAACACATGTGGAAGCCATGTTTAGCATGTCGGACACCTGCCCGCCTTTACTGCTTGGGAACACTCGAGACATCAGCTTGTGTGTTATTGAAGCCATTATATTTTCGCTTTCTCAGTAACAGCAGCATAGTTTGCACCCTCCTAGCCAATCTACCTGTATTGTAGCTCAACAATCTCAGTAACAAGCTGGTTGATGACTTAAGTTTCTAAACTTGCCCACATCCTATATAAGAAGGAGATGCTATCTGCTCTGCCTTCCACACAAAGGAAAGATCAGCATCAAATGAGATGCAGTGAAAATGTATGAAAGGCATTGTTATGTTCATGTAAGCAATTAGTAAATAATCCACAGAATGAAATAGAACAGAGGGGCCGGCCAAGTGGCGCGTTGGTTGGGAGCTGGCTTGGGATGCCAGCTCTGGGCAGCAGGGCCCTGGTTCAGATCCCACATGGGGACCAGTGACACTGCCCTCTACAGCTAAGATAGTGAACAACAGCTCGACCTGGAGCTGGGCTGCCGTGAGTCGCCGGCAACGGCGGAGGCTGCAGCCCCTGCTGCAGTGGGTTGCCATAAGCTACCATGTGTGGCTGGCAGCCAATGTGAGATGCCAAGAGCCGCCGTGAGCAGCCGTCCAGAGGCTGGCGACGGATCTGCCTCATCTGGGAAGAGTGCAATGATAATACCAACATGGGCCAGTGAAGCGACATCCTCCACAACTAGACTGAAGAACAAAAGGAAAACAACTTGTCTGTTCCCCTCCCCCAATTCCCCAATAAAAATCTTAAAAATAAAATAAAATATAATAAAAAAGAAAAGAAATTTACACAACGTGGCCATCTTATGTAGCACACTATTAAAAGGAACACTCATTTTTCTTTTATCTTCCAAATAAACCACAGAGTGATTTTTTTAATTAAAAAGTTAATAAGCTATTAGTTCTCA